TCACTTGGGGTAGATGAGACTGGAGCATGTGGTGTGGTGACTGCTTGAGTAGCAGCATGAACAATCACGGTTTGTTGTTTCTTTGATGATTTAGAATTTTGATTTCCCTTCCGCTTGTTGTTTTTCCCCTTCTTGTTCCCACCTTCTTTCTTAACTTCGCTTCTCCTATTTTGGAGCCCTTTTTTTCCGTGATCATACAATTTCTTGGATAGTCTCTTTACGCTATCATACATGGTCAGATTTGCTGCAATGAAATTTCCTTAGATTGGCGCGATCAACCCCCAGATAAATCTATCGATCTTCTACCCTTCTGATGTGATCATTATGGGACACAAAAGTGATAGCTCACTAAACCTTGTTATGTACGCATCAATGTCCGAGTTTTGAACTGTGAGGTTCCACAGTTCTTCTTCCAATTTCTGAATTCCCCCCCGGGGACAGTACTCAGCTAACAACATCTCCTTAAGTTCCTCCCATGGTATCACGTTCGCCACCGGGAGCGTCATATCCTTTATGTGACCATTCCACCAGGACAGGGCTTGGTCCACAATGTTGCAGGCCGCAAACTTCACCTTAGACTCATCCTAACATCCACAAATTTCAAACACCTCCAAATTCTCGATCCATTGTTTCAAGGTTATTACGCCTCTTGTCCCATTGAAGTTTTGAGGCTTAAGGTTGGTGAAATCCTTATAGGTGCAAGTTCTTACGGTTCCTTGGTTTGTTCCTTGATTTGTGCTTCCAGTTCTCTGTCCGTTGCCTTCTCCGTTGTTCCTATTGCGAATTTGTGAAAGCGCTGCAGTGATTGCAGTGGAAACTGCTGCTTAGAATGCGACTGAGTTAATTTCTAGGGGCGTTGGTGTCTCGTTGTTTCCACGGTTTGATCTTTGAGGAATCTTTCTGGCATGGAATAGAGAGATGATGAGTATATATATTGCATTCCTAGGTTAGAATGCCAATAACTCGGTGAATTGATTTGTGTATCTAAGTGATTCCATGTATTAACATAAAAGTAAAACACATAGCAGATAACAATGTCACAAATAAACATAGAGCATTTTCATTCATAATAATCGTTTTTAATACTTGAAAATTTGCCCGAAAGGTCTTACAGTACATAAGAGTATAAAATCCGGCAGCATGACAACCCTATGAGTAGTGTAATTAGTTAAACATAAGGTTGATATTACATAGCATAGTACACATAAAAGAAACATAATACTAGTAAAGATACTATTGATCCTGATCACACTAAGAGGTGCCTAACGGTGGTAATGAAATCATATCCCAAAATGTTATGCCAATAACTGAGTCATCTCGGTTATCTCTTCGATGACCTCATCTCTCTCCTGCTCATCTTGCACAGCTCGTGCCTCCATAGCAATTAGTTGTTGTCGAAGTGTGGCAACCTCCTCTTCCAAAGAGTGAACCCCATCAACGGGGTCCCCTAATGGTGCAGGGTGGTCCTGGTGTGCCTCAACGGTAGATGGTTCGACGGGGACTTCATATGTGTCCCTATCATCCTCCACGTCTTCGTCGGCCTTATCAAAATCATAGTCTGTATCGATGTACTCGTCGGGCCCAATGCCAGGGGCTTCCCCTGTTCTTCTTCGGGGTTCTCCTCAAGCATCCCACGGGCCACTAGAGCTTCATAAAAATGGATTCCTTGCTGAGCTTCATCCATGTTGACTGTGCGAGAAACTGGGGTGAGAAATGTGCAAAGAGAGCAGGTTTATAGTATTAGATTTTGGTTTCATTGTTCATCACAATTGCTCCCAGGCACATGCTAGTCGTACTTTGGATGAATGTAGTTGATCAGGCTACATTCACCCCCAATACGGTTACATAACTGTCCGGGCATAATTGAAATGTTCAAATCCTCCAAAACTTTTATTAAGTATTATTATGTTGTTATCCTAATATGCGCACATAAGCATGAAAATTTTATTTTGTTCAGCGTTATTTAGTCCCATTGTGTTTATAGTTGCATATCATGTATGGTTAGATATGCTAGTTCACTATAAACAGTACTTTGATACCAACCTGTCACACCACCGAACTAGACGACGGAAACATCCGAGGGCTCGTGTGACTACCAATTGAAATATCATTACAATGAATATACATGAAACATAACATAAACATCACCATGCGTTACATAATACAACCATCATTGTTCACATCAAGTACATTGTTTACAATACATATTCCAAAACATAAATTGTACGAAAATTGACATTTCATGAAAAGAATTCCCAACATACTCTTGAAGATTCTTCAGCTTAACGATTACCTGAGAATACAAATTATTTTGAAAATGGTCAACATATATAATGTTGGTGAGTTCATAAGCATGTTTGACTGAAAGATTTTTTTTTGTATTAATTGTATAATCCAAAAAATCCGATATTTTCTGTAAATTGTATGAAAATGATGTAATGACCAAGTATAAATGTATGTGTGATTTCCATTGTAAAAACATGTATAAGTAAGCAATCCAAAAATTTTCTAGTATTGTATATGTTGTCAGTAGAAGGTAATGAAAAATAGTATTTCTCCATAAAATCCGATATTTTCTGATTTAAAAAAGTATTGTAGTCCTTATATTACCGCATGAATTTTTTTCGTATTATCATGATTTAAGCACTTTGATTCCTGTATTGTATCGATGGTAATGGATCTCTACGTGAGTCGTTATAACCATGCATGATAATGACTAATTCGCTTGTCTTGACATTTTTCAAAACACCGGTTTTGATCAAGGTTTTGTCACCCTAGATTGGCCGAGTCTAACTGTAGCGAACAACTCAGGTGTGGGGGAGTCACCCCCGTATATATCTGTACACAAACTCTCGCTCTCCATCCAGTATACTCTATTTATAACTATAAGCTACGACCAAACACTCAATGGTGTCAACCGATAATTCTCACTATATCCAAATGATTGCCACACGAGTATGTTTAATGTTATATGTATTTTGATTTACAGACACTTGATGATACTTGAATGTGAAAAGACATGGCCTAAGGAACATGAGAAAGGACAGCTGTGGTCCATTAGACATGTAAGTTATTTCCAGGCTTGATATTATGCAAATTGACACGTTAAAGCCCATTATGCATATTATGAATTTATCCAGGCAAAATTAGCATGCAAATGGGCTACTAAGGCCCAATAACATGTAAAATTAATTTAGTCTCATTAAGTATGTAATTGGGTCACTAAGGCCCAATAGACATAAAATGAATATATTGGGTCCGATAAACATGCAAATGGATCACAAAGGCCCAATAAGCATGTATAGCAAGTACTAGGCCCTATATTCGTACCATTGTTGTATATCGTTTGTTTGTTATAGTGTGGATTCTTTTGGTTGAAAAGTTTACTCATAAGATTATAAAAGTCAAATACTTGGTTATAACGCTATTTTTAGTTTATATATATATATATATATATATATATATATATATATATATATATATATATATATATATATATATATATATATATATATATATATATATATATATAAACCATTTTAACCCATTTGTTATAAATATTTGTATCTTCGGTCCAGCTGTTTAATAATTGACATATTTGGCGCAAAAATATATATTTGGCCGAAAAATAAATATTTGGCGATTTCAGCCCCTTTTTCACCGAAACTTTTATTTTTAACCCTTATTTAAGTAAAATGACATTTTTGGTGAAAATAACATTTTTAGCCCATTAGACCATCAAATTAGCATTTTCGGCCCAATTATAAATGTTTTTTTTTTACAATTTTGGTCCAAAATACATTTATTTACATTTCCAGTCCTCATTTTGTAAAAAATTACATTTTTGGCGTAGTTTCCAGAAACTTTACATTTTTTGTCCAATTTAGAAATAGGTGTCATTTTAAGCCTTTATTTTTATTCATTTCCTGTTTTTGGCTCAAGTTTTGATGAAATAATATTTTAACCCGTAAAACTCACATTTTTCTTATTTTGGGCCCAAAAACCGTAAGACCCAATTTTTAAGCCCATTATGACAAAATTTACACCTTTGGTCCTTTGAAAAGTGTGATTATCATAAAAACCCAATTTTATGCAGTTATGACCTTTTTGATCCTTATAAAACCGAAAGTGTCACCTTTTTCCCCAATCTTTACTTTATTCGTCGAAATGATCCATATTCATGATTTTTGTTTTGTTTTTCAAATCTTAAACATATAAAAACTTGTATCTTTGTTGTATGATGCCTAATGTATTTTAGTTTATGAATCTCTACCATTTTGTTATAGATTTCGAAATATATAAAGTTTTAGAACATTTTCACCTTAATAAACCAAGGAAATCACATATAACATGCATAAACGCATAGATCAACACATAACACTTGTATTCTCCCCTAAAAACAAGTAAAAACCGAAGGGGGAGGTATGAACTCACCTTTGGTTTGATGTTTCGATTTTGAAGAAGAAATGGAGAGATTTTGGTCCCGACAAGCTTCTCGAGTGATTTTCGAACTTAGGAAGTTTCTAAGAGCATGATCATGGAGTAAAGCTATGTAAGAAGGAGTTCTTAATGTTAAAATGGAAGGAGATGTTTGTGTTTGATAACAACTTACCAAAGGTTGAAAATACTTGATGAAGATCCTTGAAACTCAAGAAAATTTTTTGAGATCTTTGATGGGAGAAGGAGGATGATCTTGAGAGTGTTTTGGAGAGAATTTGAAAATGTGTGTGTGTTAATAGCTCTCGGCCGAATGAATAAGAAGAGAGGGGAAGAGAGAGATTAGACTTTTTGCGTGGAGGTTAATAACACTTAGAAGTATGTGATGACCTTGAAACATGTGGGTTAACAATGTGTTGTCAAGCTTTTAATCCAACCTTTTTGATTTTTTTTACACACACACACACACATAAATATATATATATATATATATATATATATATATATATTGGACCGAGATTTGGGCCTATTCTAAGCTTAGTTCGAATTTATGGAGTCCAATAATGATTCTCGTCCCATTGGGCCCTTATGAGTGTTCATGGCCCAATGTGGTATAAAGGAATGGGTTTATAGTCCATTAGGGATAATTAATTCATTTATGGCCCAATAAGGCCCATTAATGTTATTGTAATTTGTAGTGGTCCAACTTGGCCCATTAGAAGTAAGATGAACCATTTTAGGCCCATATGGGCCAAAATGTTGAGTTTTATGAATGTGGGTCCATTTAGAGCCCATTTAAGGGTTCTAAGCCCAAGTTAGTTAATTTGAGTGCTTATTGGTCCATTAGGCCTAGTAAGAAAATCCTAGTCCATAATGGATTGAAATCAGGATTTTTAGGGTTTTCTACTCCCAACTGACTAGTTGAAACGTTTTGTATACAACTTTGAACTTTCTTGGACGAGCCTTGATTGAATTTGTTGTCAAAGAATGAATATAGTGTATAATATGAAGTTAGAGCTACCAGTATTATCATAGATGATGTTTACATGATCACAGAACTTCCTGGCTAAATTGCCAGTAGTGACAAGGCCCATATACAGCTTGGAATCATTTGCAAATAAAAGAATGAGGTGCATCGATACGAAACCTGGTACTTGGCTGTTGACAGATTCGTAAGTTAGCCAAAAACAATAATTCTTTTTCAACATATATATACATGTAAACCTTACAAATTACTCATGTTTTTCAGTGTATATTCCTTTTTTATAGGGAGATGCCATACAAATCCTTGGACAACGGACGAATCATGCTTACATAGAATCGATTCTTAACCTTTCCGATTATTACAACATACCAGAGTACAATTGTCCTGAATTGGATAAACATAAAAAAGTTTTAGAGAACGATTTCTACATCGATGTCGGCCTTAATTTTGTTACAAAACCACTTCCGGATACAATTACCATACCAACCTGTTGGTTTCATTTTACTTCTAAAGAACAACTCACACAACTCGGAGAAAATGCATTGTATTTTCCAGGTACCAACGTAATGTGCTCACTATGTGTTAGTCATATCACTTAAGTACTTACACATCTTCCTCTTTAGATTTTATCGAGATGCTGTCCAAGATCATAAACTACACAAAACACGATGGACAACCCTATGTTCTTGTTATCCTCACTTATAGCAGGTACCTCTTAAAAAGCCCAACATCTTGTCTTAACAAATCCATATTAAAAATACTAATAGGATTATGTGTAACAATTGTAGTGGAAATGAAATCCCAATAAATCTATGGAAAGAATGCTTAACCAATCCAATAAAATTCATTCACAGTCTGCTTCCTCCATCTCCTGCTATGACAATAGTAGTGGTTACAAATCTAAAACCTTCTATTTCTGCCGGTAAGACACATTTACTATACATAACATACACACAATATCACGCATGCTAATTCTTACACCCTAATTCCTTATCTCAGGAAGAATACGTCACGGATCATCATATGCTACTCATGTATATGTAAATCCGCAGATCCTTGAGACAACTTCACTTATGAAGCTGTAAAGCCTGCATGTCAAATAAAATTAGTGAACTCTTACAATCTGAAAACAACTTTTATATCCACCTCGACATCACTGCAGGTTCAGTGGGCCACTTCATCCATTATCAACACCTTCAGGAATCCCAACAACCTTAAAGGACATCAGACAAAAAAACGCGATCGGAACTCCTGGTAAAGATGCATAATAATCACTTAGAACACAACACAATTATGTTAAAAACAACTTATATTAAATCAGATTAGAATTGTGTACATATAGGAAAAAAAACCTTTTTAGTTAAGGCATCTATTGCAGACTTCGTATTTCAGGACAATTGGTACCAAATAACATTCCTAACTTGCAGAGATCCAATCTTTAAAATAGGTTCATAGTGGTACTGCAGCGCACATTCAGTGATTGCAAAACCATCACTAGCATAAATACCTACAAGATATTAATGAGTTACAAAAGATGCTCACAAATCACATCTTTATGCTGACACAAGTTCAACGTGACAATAAACGATTCGACCAGCACAATATCAACGATCATATCTGACACATCATTTCGGAAACTACTAGACTCAACTTCCGAGGATGCTCTATCTGAGAATACGTCTATCAAAAGAAATAGCTTGCCACTAGTTCTTACCCAACACAAAGGAGAAGTTAAAACCAGTGGCGGAGCCAGGATCAAAGTAAAGGGGTATCCTAATTTTTTTTAGAGTAACCTAATTTTTTTCCTGGGGTACTTGGGTTTCCCGGGTTCGGGTTCGGTTTTAAACCCAAATCCTAATCGAATCCTTAGCTAACCTCAAGTCTTGTTATATAAACATGAAGTTGAAGTATATTTTGATACTTGAATCGATATGGGACTCAAAGTAGATATCAAATAAAGCATGAGCATAACAGGTTTATATAATAGAAAAAAATGGTTGAGTTTACATGTGTTTAGCGATGTAGGATAGAATAGTTGGGAAAATAAAACAAAAATAAACAAAGAATATGTAAGAAGCGAGAATAGAACTCAAGACCTTTGCTTGAATACGCCAAAGCCTTAACCAGCAGACCAACTATTTGTTTATGTTTATAAGTGGATAGATGCGTATATATACATTATACCAAATTTTTTTGAGGGATACGTAAACAAAAATTACACTACCGAAAAAAATTTGAGGGGTATCCCGGGCTACCCCGGGATCCCCTTGGATCCGCCCCTGGTTAAAACAATGTCCATCCAGATGCTAAGAACATCCACTGCGGAAAATCATTGATTCATAATAGTTGACATTGAAGTGCCAAAAACTGTTCAACAACTCCATCGTAGGTTCCAGTGATAAGGACTACATTACAACACAGTCCACCCATGACAAGCATAACGATAGGACATACTGCGTGGAATCTAACATTCACCACAAATGTCATGTATAGACGCATAAATACGAATGTCAAGTAAATCGGATCAGTATTTACCATATGTTTATTTAATGCCATACAGATGATCCGACACCTTCAAGATATGGAAAACGCACCCGAAAGAAATAAAAAAGAAAATACAAAATTGTACCCTCAGGCTTAATTCAATCTTCTTCTTTTGTTCCATATAACACTCTCGAAAAACAATGTTATTTTGGTGTCTTAGCAACACATCAGCATGTACTAACAGATTTACTCTGGGAGTAATGATGTTTTGGTATCGTAATGACACATTAGTATGTAATAAGACCTTTACCTTCAAACAACATATGCCCTCGCTACTCTTCTATGTCTTTTACAAAAATTTAACACGTAAACGACTTTGTACTAAAAACCTTTCTACTTATATAACTCATTCATCCATACAAAGTATACTTTATTAGACACTACAACTTAAATAGACGATAAAAACCTTCTTCACTACAATCTAAATTTATTAGGCACTACAACTTAAATGGATAATCAAAACCTTGTTCATTACATTCTAAAATTAATCATACAATTCTGACACACACCACACTGTTTGGATTGTTAAAAATATTCTGTAGTTATCCACTAAAAAAATCAACAAACTTATACACTGATTTATTTGAAGTGTTTTATGATCGTATATCTTACATTTTAAGAAAATCATTCAATCTAAACCAGTCAGCCCATTCAATACGTCTTTGGCTCACTACAACAATAAACGAAAAAAAAAAAAAAAAAAAAAAAAAAAAAAAAAAATTAGGAAAAAAACTCAGTTTCCATTGCGTGCTTAAATTGGCCCACTTAATATAAACATGGCCCACTATGACACTCAACAGAAACAAAAATGTGAACCACAAAAAATAAAATTCTTGTGTATATTTAAAACAAGAATGATCAACCCAAATAGATAATCAAACTCTTTTCCAATACACTTTACAATCGATCTAATACAACATTAATGATTGGCCACCAGCCAATAAGCCCAATCTCCAAAATTTCAAGCACATGATACATACTTAACACTACTATTACAACTTTATCCATAACAAAATTATTCATACTCCAATCACTTGACCCAATTCATCCTTTAACGAAATTTAAGTATAAGTAATAAAACAAATTCATATCCTAAAGAAATATGCTCTTTCCCCTCACATATAAATACATAATACTTAAGCTAAAATCCTTAATAAAATCCGATACAAACGTAGTGATTACGACGAAATCGATTTTTTCCACATGTTAAAAAATGATCACCTAATATCAAATGACCATTAAACAAACCTCTATCAAAATCTCTCACAACATTCAATTTACATACATCCAGTTCGAGGTTAAAACAATAATAAAAATTTAGATATGAATAGTGATATCACCCGAATCATAGTTACATAACACAAAAAAGAAAAATACCTAACACCATTCCACCCTACCCTTTCACCGATACTCATAACAATTATTGCAACCGATTGTCCATGCGAAAACAGTCCACCCATATGACTTCCATAATAATGAACAACTTAAATCTATTTTCATATTTTAATGGCACATCGTTAATGTCTCTACTCCTTCATGTCTCTATGAAAATGGTACACGTACAACAACCAATCTCCATCTAGACCTAACGATACAAATGAAATAAATTACAACAACTTCGTGATAAAAATCTTTGTATTTATACAAATTAAAACCTTCTTAATCACATTCTAAAAATAACACAACTGCTCTGTAACATGCAATTAAATAAACTAACATCATAATGCAATGTGGTGTTTCCCATGACATATAAATGCCTAGTACTTTACCTAAAACTCTTAATAAAATTTCATACAATTGTAGTAATTAGAACGAAAGCAAAATGATAACATCATATAAAATGATTAGTAAGTAAACCTCTATCAACATTTCTCGATACATTAAATTTACCTATCTCCAATTCCGAATTAAAACAATTACACTACTCCAACCTACTCTTTCACCATCAACTTCTTGTAATCATCTTTTTCGGAAAACAATGCAATTTCAACCAATAAAAATATTTCAAACATTAATTAGGATTATCTAAATGGTAAAATAGGATGTCTTTTTAGCTAACCTCGTAATTTAAATATGGCAATAGAAACGTCATCAACATTAAAAGGTCACCTATAAATCCATTAACCATATTACCATTCTACACCACATCCATTCACATCGCCGATCAAAAAAAAAAAAAAAAAAACAACACTTCGGGAAATGAAACTAGCAGAGATGGAAAGCATCCTCCACATTTTCATCGGTTAAGCAGAGGAAGAGAAAACAACATTGACAAACCTTGAGAATGATTTATTTTTACACCAATAGATGAGGGAGGAAATACTAGAGAAGATGAGCCGCCGCCCCAAGCTCACCAACTACCTCCACATGAAGGACATTCTCACCATCAACACTTACGACGCATCGAAAGCAATCCAAGCCATCTACAACCTGAAGAAGGAAGCAGAACTGACCATTGAGAACTTGAAAAAACAAATGTCCAGAAGATGATAAGCCATACATGGACTGATCGATGATGATGAAATGACTGTTTCTTTTACTATTTTTTTCAACATCAGATGGGTGAATAGTTTCCTCTTTTGATCTTTTACTTATCCTGTTCCATCTGTTTTCCAACATGTAAGCTTATCTAAGAACTATAACCCATATGTTTATCTTTATCTTTTGACTCTTACTACATAGTATTCTAAATATCAACACAAATATCCATACACATAGATAGGCCACTAACACATTTAATAAAAAATCTATAACTCTATTTTTAAGGCCATGCATGTAAAAGAAACTGACAAGTGAGTTCAACAAGCCACCGCCATTTTCAAACATCATAGGTAGGTCATCATACAAATATCAAAGATCTTATGAAATCACTAAAGGAAAAAATAAATACCCCTCAAAGACAAATTTCCTATATAAAACACCAATTCCTTCCATCATCTACAACACCATGAGGTTGAGCGTGTTAGCAACCCAAACAACGTATGCCACCATCTCCACCATTAGACATAACCTGCTCAAACAGTCACCAGAATTTCTCCCATACACTCACTACGTCATCACAGAGGAACTCATCAGAGAAATGGATAAAGAAACAACTCTGATGATGGACTCCTTCTAAGCCATACAAGAGTCTCATTGCAGCCATCGAAGCATATTCCAAGATCCTGAAAAGATCTTCCCCACATGTAATAAGGAATAATCTTATATTATCATCTAATAAAATAAGCATCGAATATAATATGTACTATGTCTTCACACCAATATCAACTATGTAACGTTCATGCTTTCAACTATTTTATACCGCTTTCACTTACAAATATGCATATTGCTGTAGACTCAAGCATTCTACTGTTAACTAATATTTTTTACAAAATTCATAGTCATGGCAAATTGTCCATAAGTTAGTATATAACCCGTTCTATTGATAAGAACCACCAGATGCCCAAAATGATTATTATTATTATTATTATTGATTTGATTTGATATCGTTTTAACTTTATCTTTAACACTAAAGAAATTGATTTGATTTTTTGTTTTCTTCTATAATACGATCGACCGATCGATTGAAATCTTAATTTTTAGGTTATTTTGAGCACCTCTACACAAACCATCATCACATCAAAAGCCGACTAAACCCACAAACCTTCAAATGTCATTATGTTGTCCCCAACATCTCAATATATTACTAATAGCAACGAAAGCAAAAAAAAAAAAAAAAAAAATC